CCTGAACATCGTTTCCCCTACCCAGTAGAACATCAATAGAAATCCCCTGTTCCCTGAACATTGCTTAGCTTCCCCTATAGACCCACCCAGTCACATCATACCTTCACCTGTGCAGAACACCAGACAGAACACCCTGTGACTTGCATCACTCCCCTTCCCCTTCTCCGACCAGTGATCGGCCCCGCCCCGTCCTTCACAGCTCTTTTTGTTTCCTTGGCTCTTTGGCAGCCGGGACGTTGCCTTTCAGAGGGAGGGGATAGTGTTACGGACTCCACCAGGGCTCGATCCCTGGTCTATCTTTTTGTTGTTTCTGCTGCATCCCGTTTTCGGCCTGGCACCCTCTTTTCCAAACCCCTTCTTTGGTACCGTCGGATTTTGGACAACTGGCACCATGCTGCAATTCGGATGCCACTTTCAAATTCCACATTTTTCAGTTCTGCCCTCGGGGCTTTTGCGGAAATGCCCCTGGTACAGTACGGGGACCAGTCTCGTACCAGTTTTCTGCTGCTGTAGTCCTACTCAGTGTGACTCGCTGTTTCGGCATTCGGAATCCAAGACTTTGACTTTGTGCCTTGCTACTGTGTCTGCGTCTGACCCTCAGTCGTGTCGAGTGAGTGAGTGAGTGTGTGTGTGCTCTCACTCTCTCCCTCTCTCTCTCCTCTCCCTCGGCTCTCCCTCAGCCTCGCGCTCGTCACATCCCTCCTTGCACACACACATGGGGAAGAAACCACGGATGATTGAGGAGGAGAGAGACGAAGGTGGAGAGGGGAGAGAGGACAAGAGTAGAACTCGTAGCCATCCGAAAAATAGTCTCCCTGTCAAATGTCCAGCCAATGTCTGTCCTAAAAAATGTCAAATCAGACTTGGGCGCTCATAGGCCGGAAATAGTCACTGCCTGAAATCTCTCTCTCTCTCTCTGGAGAAGAAAAAGAAAAGAGTGCGGAGGAGGAGAAGAAGAAGAATAGTGGCTATGGAGGAGTGGAGAAGAATCAGGAGAAGAATTATCCTCTCTCACACGCTCCTGATGATGATGCCACGAATACTGACCAGCGAAGGTGATGACTCGCGATGCAGGTCGCTGCTGAAGGCCGGTCCATGACCGGTATGAAGTCCCAGCTATGGCCCCCAGGTAAGTCTCTCTCGCCCTCGTGGACGTGGTGTCCGCCAATCTCTCCACTCCAGCCTACTCCTCTACTCCTCTAACACTGCTCTATTGCAGCTCTCCCCAAACTGGCGCTGCTCAAGCAGCGTGACACCCAACCAAGGCTCCAGCCCGAATGTGTCCTCAAGTGGACTGACCCAGCTATATACCGCTGGGCCAGGCGGAGCAGTCCTCGGCCTGCAATCAGGACCGTCGGATCTGATGTCCGATCGACGGTCCTGATCGCAGGCCCAAGTCCTGGCCAAAAACGGCTTGCCTGGGTCCCTACCGGTCGTCCGGGCAAGGGCCCTGAGGACTGGGCCAGGCAAAAACAGACAAATGCCTGGTCCAGTCCCACGTACGGACAAATCTGAACCTGGCCTACAACGGCTGAAACTGAATCACCCAGCAAAAATAATAAATGCTGAAGAATGGAGAGCATGCATGGAACCAGGTGTGTGCCTGGCCTGGAAACATGCCGATGGGCCTCCAGGTCGCCTGGAACAACCGCCAGGCCCCAAAACAGGGCCCGTGTAGCGGCCTTAGTATGTTACACCTATGCTACTTGAGTGTTTTACCCGCTGCAAGCCTCAAAAGTCACGGCCACAGGTAAGTACTGGCCCTGAGAGCCTCCCAAACATACACCAACTTAGAAATCTCAGTATATAGCGGGAATCTCAGCCAGACGAACATTCCAGCAGCAAAACTCAGAAATCAGAAGAGTTCTCAGACTGTGACTTTGCAGGTCATTACATAGAGCTCTTTTTTCGGGTTGTTGTGCAGAATGAGAATGCATCTTCTGCTAAAACATGGAAAGAAACACCGCCATTTACCGACGGAGGGAAACCAGTTGGTGTTTGCTGGCTTCTTCTTCTTCTTCTTCTTCTTCTTCTTCTTTTTTTTTTTTTTTTTTTTTTTTTTTAAACAGGCTCCATTCATTATTAACTCAGAGGAAGAGGGGCCAGCCTCCCCTTATAAAGACCGGGTTTGGGAGCGTTACCCAGTGTTATGCTTTTGACAGGACCCTCTGGGACCCGAAGGAAAACCGTACGCAAACATAAGCTGGTCCCCGACAAACTCCCTTTTTTCCTTATTTATCTCAATTCAGCCTACCCCTACCTCCTCCAACCCCCCATCCACTAGTCCTTATTGCTGTCTCCTTCCCTAAACGCCTTATTGCTGTCTCCTCCCCTAAACGCCTTATTGCTGTCTCCTCCCCGAAACGCCGGACTCTACACTGCAGCACGTGATCGCTTCCCTGCCCCTGGTCCTCACGCAACGATCCAGCGGTTCGGGTGTCTCTCCTCCAACAGCCGCCCCCATGCCACACAGCACTATCCCTGGGATACCCGGGGGGGGAGGGGTTCAAACCACAGAGGTTGGGCGGTGCCTTCCCGGTCACACTACCGATTTCCGGGTCCCGCCATCCGCTCACCGTCACCGGCCAGCCAGGAGGGCCTCTACTCCAGTACCGTATGCCCGTGTCCTTCCCTTGATGCGCCCCCTGACATCCCGACCATCGGAGACAGAGCTTGTCCCTGGCCAGTCTACCTATGCTTCCCTCTCCTAGCGGTTTTACAGGAAATTCCTTCCGGATCCGCGGTGCTTAATCCGGATGTTTCGCCATCCGTTGCTTAGCACCGCACCAGTCCACCCAGAACAGGACCTCGATGCACCTTCTCTTCCATATCGTCCAGAGGGTCAGGGGGCGAAGTCTTTGAAACAGCGTGTGCTTATACACCTCGTACCTGCCCACGCCGAGGGTCAGGGGGGGAAGGCAGCAACGGTGAGGGTGTGCCACCAGGGGATCAGCCTGTTCCACGTCTACTGTGCCTCGGGACGGTAGAGCAAGCAATGTACCAAGGCCTCCACCTGGCCAGTGTTGCACACGGTGCAAAGATCCATCTGTGCCTCCTGCATTTGTCGTTTCGGTTTTTTTTTTTTTTTTTTTTTTCCCTTGGGTCGTTGCTACCAGCCTAACCACCTTGCAGGGCCCGCCTGCCCGGCTCTGTGCAAAATGAGAATGAATCTTCTCCTGAAACATGGAAAGATGCACTGCCATGTCTTTCTTCTTCTTCTTTTTTCTTTTTCCCAAAGGGCGTCCGGCTTGGGGTAATTTAGAATTGTACATCCTCAGTGGGTTGCGAACTCTGTGTTCCAAAACTCTGGTAAGCCAGTTGGTGCCTGCCTTTTTCTGTTTTCAACTTTTCGTGCCTTTTTTTTTTTCTTGGTTCGTCTCTGCCACCCTCGCCATTTAGCATGGCCCACCTGCCGCGCACCACCATAATTTGTCTTTTGTGCATGTGGTGAGTGGTGGAACCAGCCATGTAGTGTGATATGCTTTTTGGGTTGTTTCTCTGGTAGGGACCAAAGTCACCAAACTGTTTCTGATGTTGCCAATGTGTTTTCTTACCCCCCCTCTTGGTCTCCGCCTCATCTGCGGCAGGCATATTATTATGTAAAATGGCCTGCCAATGTGACCCGCCAGGGTACTTGTATGCTGGAAAGACCCTCAGCTGTGGTTGTGCTCTTGTGGGTTGCAGCAGGGACTTCGTGGTAGGCTAGACCTGGTAGGATGGAAAACACTCACGTAGCGAGTAGGCTATGCCCACGTAGGATGGAAAACAGTAAAGTACTCCAGTAGTGGGTAGGTAGGCAGAAAAAGACAAAAAGTTAGTAACTCTAGAGGCCAAAGGAAAATTAGAGTCTGGTAGGCTTAGGTACCTGTCCAGTAGTAGGAGTCTAGGTCTGTAGCGTAGGATATCAGACTGCAATGATGTTTGCCTCCAGGAGGAGTAAGGTACTGGTAGCTTGGGAGGGTGAGTGTCCCGGAAGTCACAGCCCAAGGAGGCAGTAGTACAATATATATATTGAGGAAGAGTGGTGAGCTCTTCCTCATTTTGCAGGGTGCAAGTTTGGCACCGTGCTGCTGGAGCGAGCACTTGAAGTTCCCGGGGAGGAAGAAGGTGGCCTGGCCCCTGCACATCAGCTATGCTGGAGAGGACCAGGAAGGAAGGCTCCGGGGTGTACGAGGAGGAGGAAGAAGGTGGCCAAGGAGGAGGGTGATGGGGGTGTTTACCTGGCTATGGTGGTCAGGATCTTCATCTTCTTGGTTGGCGCTGCACCTGGAAGGCCCCATAAGGGGTAGGCTTCATCAAGGAAGTCTTCAGGGTAGGAGGGGCACATTATCTTTGCGTTATCCTTTGAACAACATCGTAGCAGTGCTCCACTAGTCCGCCATAGCCATCTACGTATCCAAGTAGGAGGACGTGTCTGCCATGGGTACAGTGGACCTCATGATTGACTGGCAGTAAGGAGGAGGTCCAGACATTTGTCCTGGTTCATTCTTCCATTGCTATTCTTGTTATAAGGAGGTTGTAGATGCTGGCAACTTGGAGGGGGATTTGACATTGGTCTTTGCTGGTGTACATCTTCTTCTTCTTCCATTCTTAATGCTTCTTCTTCCCTGTCATTTTCTCTGTCCAAGTTCTTTCATTTCAGTTGCACTTGAATGACATTGTCTTTATTTGAGTTATTGCACTTCTAGATAGCCCCAGGATCATAGCAATTATTGTAAAGAAGAGCTGGGGGAGTAAGTGGAGGTTGAAGATGGTACCTAGATGAAGGCGGATTGCCATTTCTCCTTGCTGGTGTTCATCTCCTTCCTCTTCTTCCATTCTTATTTCTTCTTCTTCCTTTGCCTGTTTCTCTTTCAAAGTTCTTTCATTTAGTTGCAATTGAATGACATTGTCTTTCTTTGAGTTGTTGCACTGCCAGATAGCCAGGATCGTAACGTTATTGTGTTTTATTGACTTTTATGTGCCTCTGTTTGCTTGTCTGTCTGTCTGTTACTGATCAGCTTTGTTTGACAGGACAGGGCAGTACATTATCACTGGGTCAGATGATAGGCTTGTGAAGATCTGGGAAGTGAATAGTGGCTTCTTGCTGCGAAGTTGTCGAGGTCACCAGGTGTGCGACACGGATCCTTGAGACAGTCTTCCTTTCCTTTTTTCCTTGAGGGGTTAGCCCCTAACTTTATTTATTGTTGTATTAATCGGATTCCATCAGGATTCGGACTCATGAGCTGTTCACTAATAGTCACATCTGTGTACCACCATTCCGCAACATGGGCTAGGTGCCTGCAACAGTCTTCCTTATGGAGAGACAGGTTGGCATATTGTTGATAGTCATGCACAATTTATGGAGTTCAACTCAAAGAAAACCGGACAACAGAAAAAAACGAAAAAGAAAATGGGGTTTCAAGTCTCTCTATCATGGAGTTCAACTCTAAGAAAAAAGGAAAAGAGAAAAGAAAACAAAAGGGGTTTCGACTCTTTCTAGTCCTTTGACTCGTTGAAGGTCCTAGCTCTCTTTATTTTCAGCTGTGACATGCTGACAACACAACAAGTCTGCAATCTCAAACTCGTATGCGAATGGACATCCCTTGTTTCTTGAGGGTTGTGTTAGTCAGTCCGAGGTTATCAAGTCCATCTTTGTGAGGTAGGGCTATTTTAGCAGAGTTTGCAGGCACTCGTCGAGCTGGTGGGGTATGCCCTCTGCCTCCCCCCGCCCCATCCAGGCAACAACAAAACGGAAGCCATAACTACAATTTAAACTCGTTGGGTTCTTTGTGCATGGTCTACTTTTCATCCTCCTGTTGATTGTTCATCAACAACTCTGTCTGCTGTGTTGCAATTGTTGTTCCATCCATCTGATCATACCCCAAAGGACAAACATGCACATTACGTGTTTCCTTGGAAAGGTGAGGCGGCAGAAAATGCTTGAATGGTGTGTTTTGCATGGTGGCCCCGGACCCGGACATCCAGACACCAGACACCGGACCCGTGCCTGGATTAATCCGGACGTCCGGTGATCTGGACACCGATCTGGACAACCGGACTTACAGACCCGTACGGTCCGGTTACGAATGAACAGGTCCGGATGTCTGGATAATGCAAGGAAGATGAGCAGAAGCGAGATGACAATATCCAGAATGCACAATCACATTGAAAGCCGGATAGTATCACAGTGTTTAGAAAGCAGAATTGCACCAACATAACACCAATGAAGAATTGTAACACTGAAAACCCATGTCAATGAGAGCTTGCTCTTGCCACCACCAACATGAGTGTCCAGGCCCTTCTTCCTGCTTGGCGCTCGGCGCCCAGCCTACTTCCTATACAGCTACTGTCTGCCTACTAGTTGACGATGCAACTGTTGACATCAGCAGCCCACAAAGTACTTGAAGATGTCGCCCAATGCAGACCATCGCCAATACCAGGTATGTGCCCTCACATCATCATCATCATCATCATCATCATCCTTCTCTCTCCCCCCTGACTTACACCCACGTCTTATCCCTGTACACCCGAAGACCACCCCTGCGCCTCACTGTAAACCAAGCCCGAGCCAGCTTTGGAAGCTGGGCTATGGCGCTGCCCTCAGCAGCGTCCTGAGTCCTGACTCACACACGACCGCACGTGCTTGCACCTTGCCTCTCAGCGCCAGCAGCAGCCTATGAGCGTCCGCTCCCGCAGTCCTGCCGCTAGCATGCAAGTGCTTGAATGCCAGCCCAGGCAGCGAGCTCTTTCCTATATGGAAAGAGCCTGCCTCGATTGGCAGCCTGGCTGGCCTGGGCCTCTGCCCAGAAGCTTCCGGTAGGCCCCAGGAGGCTGTGCCTCCGATGCAGCTGCTGGGCCTCCGTTTGGTTGGTCCTCGCAACTGTCTGTGTATGAGGCTGCGATTCTCGCCCAGGGCCTGCATTTCTGAAAGGCCTGGAGGGCCTTGGAATGTCTTTGCTGCTCTACCTGTATTTCCCTCAACCAACTGGTGAGTCACAACTGCCTGGGCCCCAAATACGAAATTGACAGCCGAGGCCTCTCGTGATTTGTTAGGCCCGCCTTCACTTAGGGCGGGCACATCTGCAACAGGGGCCCCTTAGGCCTGCTGAGGACCCAGATCCTCGCAATAATAATAATAATACTAATAAATAATAATTAAAAGAAACAGACGCACACTGCAGTAGTTGTGCTATCCGACTTATCGTGTACACAGTCACATACACACACAGTGTCGTGCACACACACGCACACACGCACACACGCACACACACACACACACACACACACACACACACACACACACTCACACACTCACACACACACACACTCACACACACACAACCAGTTCTCCTTGGCCCGTTGAAGCTCACCAAAGATTAAGCACTGGCCCTTCAGGGCCAATCTGGTTGCTCCAACGGTCCACCAAAAACTGCGCCAACAATTTTCTGGGGTCCACCGGGCACTGGAAAATCGCCTGGGGACCCAATTTTTTTTTTCCAAATTTTCTAGAAATGGGGCCCAACCGGCCCCCCCAAACCGGACACCGGATCTGGACATTCGGACCGATCCGGACGTCCGGTTAACAACCATGGTCTTTTTCCTGCTTCAGATCTGTAGTGATGTGTTTGCCTGCACAGTGCTTGTTTTTGTGTGTGTTTGTTCTTCTCGATGCTGATGACGAGTGAGGTCATCTGATGCCTGTTCCATGTGCCTTACCAGTTGAATGGATAGTATTTCTAATGAAAAGTGAAAGGACATATGTTTTACGTTGTGGTCAGTGTCGCACGGCCAATGTTCAGTGCCCCTGGATTGATTGGCTGGTGACAAGCTGACCCTTCCACCCGTCGGCACCTACTGGTCGGCAGTTGATCCGCGCCCCACAGTTTCTCTATTCTTTTTTTCTCTGTGGTATCCATAACCCCCAACAACCAGCAACACCCCCATGCCCGCACCACCAAACCCGCCCCCCAACACGCTCAGACAAGGATTTCTTGAATACATCTGACTTCAACTGTTGCTAGATGCAGTGAAGGAAGTACTACCTTCTTCACCCGAATAGAACGCCCAGTCATCATAGCCATATCTGGTGCAAGTTTCAGTCCAGATTGAGTGATAAGGACCGGGCATTCTATTCGGGTGAAGACGGTCATATGCCCTAGCATATGTGAGCTGTTCCTCCCCACTCTGCTTCCCCCCCCCCCCCCCCCCCCCCCCCCCCCCCCCCCCCCCCCCTTTCCCTGAGAGTAGGTCATCAAGGGGTCATCATTCCTTCGACTGAAGTTGCTAAAGAAAGATGTGGTGGGCATTATGAATTGCAAGAAACTGCTGCCGCTTAAGAATTGCTGCCTATTTAACTCTATTTTGTGTGATGTTGAGGAATTGTTGTTCCGGCTGTTGAATGTGTGATGCTTTTTTCAGGGGGACATCACGGATCTCGCTGTGAGCAGCGACAATGTACTGGTTGCTTCTTCATCAAACGACTTTTCTATTCGAGTGGTATGCGAGTCGGCCTCTTCTGCGGACGTGTAGCTCAGGAACTTCCCTTTTTTTCCTTTTTGGGATAATATAGCAGAAGACTTGTCCATGTAGACCCAAGAAGAATGTTCTTTGAATTACACACAATTGTTGTTCAAGAAGTTACAAGGACTCTTTTTTTTGTTTTGTTTCCTTTTTTAAGTTAATGGATTGCAACTTGCAACATCTCAATAAAGCAGCTGACCATATGTCTCAAAGTTCAACGTTGAGGCCTCTTATGCTCCATTCGTGGGATGGAGCAAGAATCTCAGAAATGCCTGCCCAACCAGCACTCATCAATAAATAGAGGAGGGCTCAGTAGCCCTCCTGATTTATTTAAGTTTTTTTCTTAAAATTTGTGTGTGCACATGTGGTGAGCCACACAGTGAAATAAAATAAAATGAGGAGCAGGGCTGGCAGGCGCTCCCAAAACGTTTTTCAGCGGGGCACATGGGATGGCATGATTGCAGGGCGCGGAAAAGCTGTCGGGATGGCGTCGTACAGCTCTTCTCTGATAGGGAGGGCTGATAGCTACTTTTGAATTTGTAAATTAAACTTTAAACTTCTGGTGTGCCATTTGCGGAGTTGCGTTTTTGTGGTTATGAAAGTACAGGCCTGCATGGATTTTTTCGAGCAGGTTGTGGTCTTTTGGCATGAATCTTTCTAAGCAGCGTACTAAGCACTGATGTCAAATTGGCAATGCCTTTTTAGTATGAAGCCTAGGCCAGGGCCCATTGGGACTGTGCCTTGATTTCCTCCCAGAAACGATCACAGCGGGATCCTCTCTGCCGCATGGCAGTTTGTTGTAGAGGGCCACAACACAATCATTTCTCTTAAAGCTGCAAGCATGGACTGGGAGGATGGCAGGAGGAGGGTTAGTAGATTAGTGACCAGATGTTTTGAATGATTGTAATGTGTGAATGCAACTTTGACATGTATCTGTTGCTGTATGTTGTGGTTTTGCAGTGGAGCCTGCCTTCAGGTGTTCCTGTCTCCGTGCTGCGTGGCCATACTCAATCTGTCACCGCTGTAGCATTTAGCCCTCGGAAGAAATGCGCTCATCATCTCCTCTCGTGAGTGGGCTCTACTCCTGGATTCTGTTGTTGAAAACATGGCATGCCCAAGGCTACCTTGGTTTAGTTTTGCTTTGATTGCCTCTCAGGCTTTTTAGCGGTTTGGCAGGTCAGGATCTGTTTTTTCTTACTCTGGCAGCAACTAGGACCCTTTCCTATCCTGCGTTGGAAACCAAACCCCGAAGCAC